GCACCAATATGAATCAATATTAAATTTTCCCAAAACCTAATTTGAATGAACCTGCATTAGCACGCCTGTTGTGAGTTTATTTTATAAACAGTCTTCAATAGAACGTGTGAGAAATAAGATTGAACTAGACTTACTAAGAATTATAATTTTGCCTTTTTATTTGTATTGATGCTGAAGGAAGATATTAAAATACGGTGTTCAGGGAGCGATTCAGACCTAATAGGAAAGAAGCATTCTTAAGATCTACTTCAACTTTATCATCCCATCTACGCCTAGGTCGTTCGAGTGGTCTCTTCCTTTGAGGCTTTCCTTCCAAAATTTACGACAAAACTCTAATGTCGTAGAACGATGTTAAGAGTCTGGAGAATTGCCGCTCAACTAACCTGCTGAGTCCTAACCTTGCGGATGTAGTGTTCCGCCTTCAGAGTAACCTAATAAAGTACGATAGGTTGGTTTTGTCTCATTAAAATGACAGACACAGCCGACAGTGGCCGACACCTGTAGGAGCACTCCAGAGGTGTGAATAATGTTCGTTTGCTTCTTATACGCGCTATGCATCAAGCCGAATATCGACTGAGATTACCTTATCTGGAGCTGCGACAAAACAATTATTTTTAGAAAAAGACGCGGGTAGTAGCTTCCCAGCAGTTTATATTACGAAGGTGTCAGGTAGCCTCGCTAATTGGCTCTCAGACTACATTCTCGTAATGCAAGTTCCCTCTTACGATTCTTGTAGTAGAATTCAAAGGTTCAACACCGCTATCAGACACCGCTTCTGAACACGATGCTGCGTCAGTTCCGTCGCCTTCTAACCTCTCAATCTGTTTCTCTAAGATCCAGCCCAATAATTACCCTTCCATTTAGTCGCTTTGCGAGATGTGTCCTCACCAAATTTTACAAACACTTATTTTCCCTTACGAATTGCGTTTCCGGTCTATCATAAATTTCATTTTCTAAACATTACTAGGTGACTTCCGTAATTCAATAATTTCTTACTTACGTGCGGATCGCGAAACTTCTTAGTGCCGCCAACTTGACGTCTGAGTTAAATTAACATACAATTTTGAAACACGCAAATATAATATTATATTTGTGTATTCCATAAGTGTTTTTTTTTTCGACGGATAAAACTTAAATACTCTGTTGAATAACATAACGGTATTTCACAAATAAAATTAAAAACTTTATTTACTTATATAGTTTCAGCGAGTTTAAACATATGGACTGAAACATTACAGAGAAATCAGGCGATTTCCACGTTACAGTTTCAGCGAGTTTAAATATATAGACTGAAACATTACAGAGAAATCAGGCGACATAATTTCTTATCAGAAGTAGTTTCTACAGGCTGAACCACATATTCTTTTCTTTTTTTCTTTTTTGAGAGGGAAGTTTCGTGTGTCACAGTTTGTCTCCCCATAGGCCTATAATCAACAGGCAACTCATCCATATGCAGCAAAGTGCGAGCACCCCATAATTAGGCCCACGTCTCATGCGACACCCCACTCGATATTTCAGCGCGCGGATATTAAAACTCTGTAATTATCGTATTTGCATTTGTGGGGTTTCCTTTCCCATTTTATTTCGCTCCTTTCCGCTCTGACATCGCTTATCTGAATCCCCTCAGGGCCAAACTTTTCGAAGCAAAACAGTCATTAAGTGTGTGGAAATATATTGACCGTTCCTCCTTAACAACGCTGAGCCAACTACAGAAGTTACGGATATCGTTCCAGAATGGAGATCCCTTGGGAGTTTCTGGACAATTGCAATTTTGTGCAGGCTTGCCTCGCTGAAACTCAACAGATAGATACACACACGCGAATTACAGATAACAAACTGAAGAGATTCGGTAATTATTTTCCTTCTTCCAGCTGTAAAATGTTTTAATAAATTCTGTATAAATTAATGGCATGCACATTTCATGTCAGAAGCCCGTGTATTTTAATGTTTCGGATCAGGCAAACGGTAAAATGGGACATGGACTGTGTAGTATGTAATTGTACTGATAATAGCAAGTGAGTCAGATATGACACGAGCAGGATCATTACAGAGTCCCAGAAAATTAATCTTATTGTTTCTTGGTGGAATGAAAATAGCCGGGATGGGATTAGAGCCACTGTTGTCCTCGAAAAGTTTTTAATGTCTCTCTACGCGTATTCTGATAGGCCTACAACATATCAAGTGGCTCCTAGTAGCTTCCTCAGAAGTTAGTGCCAAAAAGACGTCAATAAACGTAACGTGGGGAAAATTAGACAATAAAATCAATTAATCGATTTGCGTCAAGAAACTGTAGGAGGGGAAGTATTAAAATACGCGTATTACTTAAACAGGAACCAATCCCATTTAAAATGTTTTTTTTAATTAAGTGTACAGAGGTGGGTGAGTATAGATTAAAGCTCTAATTGCTAAAGTTTCCCCAAAACTCCCACAATTTAAGCGACATAAAACATGTACTGAGACCAG